AGGGACGGGGAGGATCCGGGGAACGCGCCGGGCATGGCCTCGGGTCCGCGCGCCGTTGTGCCGCCGAGGAAAACAAACCGGCAGCCGTGAGGCCGGTTGTTCTGGGACCGGGGAAAGTTTGGAGTTAGAGTGCTTGTGCGTCTGTCCGCGCTCAGGTGGGCTGCGCTAGTTTATTCTAAACTCATTCCATTACAAGGTCGGCCTTTAAATACTTTCCAGTTGGTAGATGTTCGAGTTCATCCGTAGAGCTCTGCCTAACGCTCTAAATCTTCTCCCCAGTGCAAAACGGATCCGTGCATCAGAAGGATGCGTTAAACGACGATGACTTTGAACCCTACTTGAGCCCCCAGGCCCGGCCGGTGAGTACCTGCCAAGGGGCAGGAAGCCCCAAGAGCCCCCCGGTGCTTCCCGCTGCTCTCGAGCCAAGGCGGCTTCGGCATCCTTCTGTTTCCCCGTTTCCACTCGCTGCGTTTTGACGTCTTGCCAGCTTTCTTACCATGACGTGCTGGTTTAGAAAACACCGAATGCCGTTAGATTGTGGTTGGGTGAGGTATAAAGGTTTTAGCCACTTTTTTAGTGATGTAAGGACTTCCTACAGTGGGTGTTCAGCCCCCTTTTGAAGTTACTATTTCTGCTTTTTCAGTTTTACTGTTGTGACCTTGTTTCCTTGCTGGTTTCTGGCTCTTTACACCGTCTGAGGAGCTGCCTTGTGTGGCCTCCTGAAAATGCTTCGCACAGTGCAGGGCTTTCGCAGGATGCTGTCACCGTTCTTATCTCCACCGAGTAAACCGAAAACGCGCGTCACGGGGTTTTCTCTCGTTCTTCACCAAAAAACCCCCCACAGAACACCCGTGTGATAAAGGCTGTTACCACTTTTCAAGAACTTCAGTTAAAAGTGAGCTGGAGAGCTTGTGATCAGCTCCTGAAAGTCTGACTTCCAGATACTTTTCCTCTTCGCTTTCTGCTCACGACTAGCCACGCTGTTAACTGGGTTTTGTTTGTTTTTCTTAATGAGCGGTAGGAGAGTGACACATAACAGATGCAGTTCAGCTGATTAGGTGTTTCAAGTAAGCATTGCAGATAAACATCTGTAGTAGCACTGAGCAGTTAGTTCATTCTCTTGGCTTCTCTTTCCGCTCCGGTGTGATTAGTAAAAATAAGCTCTTCTGGTTTTCCCTTTCTGTGTGCTTTTCATCGTTTTTACTGGTCGGTATAACTTTTTCAGAGAAGTGTTGTGTATTTTATTGGAGCAGAGCAGCAGGTTTCTGTCTCGGTTAAATTGTCAACAAGTGTTTTCCTGGTTTATACCAAAGATAGGAGGCTGAATTTCCTTTAAGGTCCTGTCAGCTGCTCAGAATTCAACCCGTCCATGAAGATGGCTTACTGCATTCAGCTCCCTAAAAGGTTTCAAGCCTAAATTTGACCTGCATAGGGCGCAAGAGTGTGATTACTTTCTTGAGTCTTCAATAAAATTAGCTACTTGCCTAGCAGCTGTCATTAGTGGTGGGTTTTTCTGTCCCAGAAACTACCATCACCATTTTCCAGCTTCCTCCTGGATCTGGAAGTCTTTCCTGCAAAGTGCACTTTGATTTAAATCTTCTAAAGAGAGCAAAGTTGCTGTAATGCTAGAAGCAACATGCTATTTTACCTTATTTTGCATGTTTGATGAAGTTCTGAATATTTAGTTTCTTTCTGGCATGTCACACTAGTAAAAGTACATTGTAAAATCAAGGAAGTGATTGGAGCGTGCCCCCAGGAGGTGGAGCGGAGCCGTTGCTCCAGAAACTCAGCGGGAGTGAGGTAAAACTGCTGTGTTAACTTGGAATGGAACTTTGAGGTGACTTTCCCTCAGTTTGTCACCCTGCTGGGTTGCGTGTCACCTCTGATCCGCGTTGTAACTCACAGTAGAGTAGAAAACAAACCCCCAGTGTTCAGTCTGGAGGGGACCGTGGTGGTTCTGGGCCAACCAGCCAGACTCCTGGTGTAAGGGGACCGAGACATCACTCTTTTCTGCGGGTGGGAGAGGGAGTTAGAGGTAAGGCTCTGAAAGATGAATTGAGCGCAGCCCACGGACGCTGAGTGATGCGAGTGGTTTGTGAAATCCCCCTCCACACAAGCACGAAGTAACCACGTTGTAGTTTTGTGGCTTTTCTTTCAGGTGCAGCATACCCACTTGTCAGCCTAGGGAATTTGGTCGCAGGGTGTTTTAAAGCTCGGATACCCAGTGAGTGATTCTTGGGCAGTTCAAAAACGAGCTCAGCAGGAGTGAGAAGTAGGCTTAAACCCTCGTTCTGGTCTTGAGGTGGAGAGGAATAGTGAATTTGAGGAAATAACTGTACAAAACCTCTTAGTCACTGGTGATCATTAAAAGCCGGTGAAGTTCATTTGCATGCTAATCAGTAAACGTGTCAGTTGTGCGAGCGCGGGGTAGCGGAGCGAGGTGGTGCGTTTGGCGCGGCGTAGTTCCAAACGGCGAAGGGCAGCGGGCCTGTCCCAAACCTGCCTTCAGCTGGCAGCGCTCGGTGCCTCTGCCACCCGAGTGTAGCTGGTGACTGCTCTGCAGGTAATAGCTTAATTCAGACTGCCGTAAGGTGTCCCGGAGCTAGATGGGACGGCATGGAAGGAGAGGTTCTGAGGGGATGGGTTTTCATCTGAAGCAATGGGCTTCGTGCTCTTGAGGGAGAAGCCTGCGGGGAGGGAGTTGCTCCTCTGCCTGCTGGGCTCGGGGTTTAGGTACAAGCCTGCATGTTCCGCTGAAGGTAATGTTCAGGAGGGTGTTGTCACTCTGATAATTGAGGGGAAGTCCCTTCGTCTGCCTTTCAAATGAGTTGGTATCGGTGCTTTGGGACATTGAGCCCTAAGGACTGCTCCTTGGGTTGGGTTTAGCAGGACTGAGTTCCTCAACTCGTGAAACTGTGCCCTGGATAAGGGTTAGGTTTGTCATTAATTCGCTTCTGGGACGCTTTCTGTGGGAAAACAGAAAGGTGGGAGAGTCTTTCGAGGTTTTCATGACTTCACACTGCAAGGTACCGCTTCCTAGTGTTCTACACAACGCAACAGACCTCATCTGACAGAATTCCCGTTGATTTCTGTACGGCTGGGGCCAACCCAGCTTCCCCCAAACCTGTCGCTTTAACTCGGTGGAAGGTGGGGAGCCAAACCAGCTATTTCAGGAGGGTGCCCGAGCCATCTTGAGAGCCTCTGTAGATCTCAGCGTGGCATGAACTCCTGCAGGAGCTGCGCTTGGCACGTGCAGACGTGATTCAACGAGAAATGGAGTAGGGCCTGCTGTGAGCCAAGCTTTTACACGGGAGCTGAACCTGACTTCCGTCTCCTCGGCGGGAGGCTGGCTGCGCGCAGGTCAGGCTCCCGGGTGACAGCGTCCGGTAGCGCGGCTCTGACCGCTCTCCCGAGGGGCCGCAGGTTTGGATGGGCCATGACAGATGCTTTTCACGAAAGCCAGTCTTGGTGGTGGCTGAGAGTTCCCCGAGTTGTAAAATTAGGTATTTGTTTCCATAACCTAAAGGCTACTGGGTTGTTAAAAGGGAGACCAGGGCTGCTTTTCCGCTCTGGATTTGAAGCGATCTTGCTCGTGCAGCTGCTGTCACCGTGCTGTAAAGGGCTGCCACTGAAACCCCAATGATTACTCCTTGTTTTCTTAGGATGTGCCCACAGCACCGGAGCAGTTTGTGTGTGAGGAGTAGGCTCTAAATCCCTGTTTGTTTGCAGGTTCTTGCAGCGTTACGAGCTCTGGAACTCTGAAGTGTGAGGGGATAAAGCCGTTTTCATGGGTAATGAGTTTAAGGAAGGCAATTAGGGGCGTTCGTGGTTCTGGCAGCGCACTTCCCCCTGACCTTTTTCCTCTGTATCCCGCTTCTCTCGGCACCCTCTCCCCACACCCTCCCCTGGAACGGCAAACTTCAGGCAGGAGCAGCCACAAAAGGTAGAAGACAGTATTTGGGTGCCAGGTAAGGTGCTGGCTTCACCGCCTGAGCAGGAGCTCCGGGGCAGCCTTTGGTGTCCTGTCGCGCATCAGCAGCGCCGTGCGCTCCCACCTCGGCGCGGGAATCTCGCCGAGCCTTTGTGTTTCGCCTTCCTGGCAGTGAGATGGGGTTTAGAGCACTTCTAACAACGGAGGTGTTTCAAGGCCGGGCCTGTTTACCTGCCCAGCCCGAAGGTAGGGAGGGGTGAGGCACGGGGAAGTCTGGGATGGCTTTTCTTCTTGGTCCCTTGGGATTTGTTCAACTCTTTCTAACTATTCAGCGCTTATTTTCTCTGGTGTTTTTCTTTCAGAATAATGCATACACTGCAATGTCCGATTCCTACTTACCAAACTACTACAGCCCCTCCATTGGATTCTCCTACTCCTTAGGCGAAGCCGCCTGGTCTACGGGGGGTGACCCACCCATGCCCTACCTAACCTCCTACGGACAGCTGAGCAACGGGGAGCCTCACTTTCTCCCAGACGCCATGTTCGGGCAGCCGGGGGCCCTTGGCAGCACTCCGTTTCTGGGGCAGCACGGCTTTAACTTCTTTCCAAGTGGGATTGACTTTTCGGCTTGGGGGAATAACAGTTCTCAGGGACAATCCACTCAAAGCTCCGGCTACAGCAGCAATTACGCCTACGCCCCGAGCTCGCTGGGGGGAGCCATGATTGACGGGCAGTCGGCCTTCGCTAACGAGACGCTGAACAAGGCTCCTGGCATGAACACCATCGACCAAGGGATGGCAGCTCTGAAGCTGGGCAGCACAGACGTCGCAAGCAGCGTCCCAAAAGTCGTCGGTTCGGCTGTCGGGAGCGGATCCATTACCAGTAATATCGTGGCATCGAACAGTTTGCCGCCTGCTACTATCGCTCCTCCGAAGCCAACCTCCTGGGCTGACATCGCTAGCAAACCGGCTAAGCAGCAGCCCAAGCTGAAGACCAAGAATGGCATTGCAGGTTCAAGTCTTCCACCGCCTCCCATAAAACATAACATGGATATTGGAACTTGGGATAACAAAGGGCCAGTGCCAAAAGCCCCGTCGCAGGCCTTAGTTCAGAATATTGGTCAGCAGCCGGCCCAGGTGTCCCCTCAGCCCGTGGGTCAGCAGATCAATAACAGCCCACCG